GTGCACCCATCGAAAGGGATATGTAAATAAGAGATATGTAAATAAATATGTAAATATGTAAATAAAGAGATATGTAAGAGAGGAAGGGGATCAGAAGATCATGGAATCACATTCCTAAAGCCTAAAGAGACTTTGGAGGTCAACTAGTCTAACCCCCTTATTTTAAGGATGAGAAAATTAATACTGAGAAGTGATGTGATTGCCAAAGGTCGTCCAGAGGCTTAAATAGGATTTTCTACATGACTAAAATAAGCCCAGGACAGCCAGAATAGTCAGGTGAGAGATAGAATCAGGCAATGTAGGATTTATGAATATCTTTTACTTGATGTGGATAGAAGGTTTGATGGGAATTGTGCTAATCTTACTAGTGGAAAAGACAAATAGAGTGAAAGACTGAATTCTTGGTAATTGATCATATTTTCCAAAGTGAGAAAGGGTGGAAAGAATATGCCTAATTTAACACCAAGTTAATCTACCTCAAAAATATAAATAAAATGATGAAATGTGCACATCACAGAGTTGCCCTTCTTACTCTCTGATTTCCTGGAAGTAAGAATCATAATGAAAGTGTGGGCTAATGGAGAGGCTACCTTGGCATTAAGAAGATCTATGTTCAAATGTTAACTTCCAACATATACTATCTGTATGAGTCTGGACAAATTACCTAATCTCCCAGTCACCACTAAAGAATTTTATTAGGAAAGTGACATGGTGCTTCAGAAATTAAAGGAAATGTATGAATGAATGAATGAACAAATTTGTTATAAGTTTTTCTATAAATTTAGAATTATAAATACAGAAATTTCTAAAAATTTTCTATAAATATAAAAATATTTACAAAATAAAAATACTTTAATAAATATAAAAAGTCAATTCTAAGGGAAAGGAATTGAAATACAAAAGAGAGACAGACTAAACCCTCAGGAAGGTTACATTCTAATAGTGGAGACAACAGAAGCAATGGCAGGGGAAGTGTGAAGTTACAGGGATGGTGAATGGAGTCATAAGTGAATAGAATGATGTGCCCTTTCTAGAAGCAATGGTGATATTGATTTGATTACTATTCCCAGAGCATGAGATAAGAGTTGAGGGAGAGACTGTGCTGCAGTGGAAGAGGAAGGCAGCCTGAGGTCTGGTAGATGTAGTGAGTTTTTCCCCAAAAGCATGGTCACAAGGGGGCAGCTGGAGAATCAGTTAAGAGAGTTCACGGTGGAGAATTCACATGGCACATCAGGAAGATTATTTTGACAGCCCTGTGGAAGGTGTTTTGGAAAAGGGAGAGATGAGCAACTGGGAGAGCAATTGGGATGCTGTTCCAATAGTCTAGGCAAAATGTGAGGAAGGCCTGAAATATGGTACAGAGATAAAGGGAAGGATTCAAGAGATGTCGTGGAGGTAGAATTAACAAGACTTGACAAACATGTGGATATAGGGTATGAGGAAGTATGGAAGAGTCAAGGATCATTCAAAATGGCAAAACTAGCGACCAAAAGGATGGTGGTATCTACAACAGAGATAGGCAAATTCAGAGAAGGGTCAAGGGTGGGGAGGAAACTTAGGGAGCTCCATTGTAGACATGTGGAATTTTAAATTATTATAGGACATGGAAGTAGAAATGTCCAGCAAAAAGTTAGCAACACAGGACTGGTGTTCAGGAAAGAGATTAAAGATAAATGTATTGATTCATGAGTCATATTTGTAGATAATTAAACCCACAGGAGGGGCAGGTAGGTGGCACATTGGGATAGAGCACCATCCCTGGAGTCAGGAGGACCCGAGTTCAAATATAGCCTCAGATACTTACTAGCTGTGTGATCCTGGGCAAGTCACTTAACACTCTTTGCCCTAGCTCCTTATCTGTAAAATGAGCTGGAGAAGGAAATGGCAAACCACTCCAGTATCTTTGTCAAAAAAAAAGCCAAATGGAGTCATGGAGAGTTGGGCACAGCTGAAACAACTCAACAACAACAAATGCATAGGAATTGATGAGATCACTGAGTTGTTTATTGTTCAGTCATGTCTAACTCTAGTGACCCCCGTATGAAGTTTTCTTGACAAAGATACTGGAGTGGTTTGCTATTTCCTCCTTCAGTGGATTAAGGCAAACAGAGGTTAAGTGACTTGCCCAGGGTCATACAACTAGTGAGTGTCTGAGGCTGGATTTGAACTCCAGTCTTCCTGACTCTAGGGCGGGTGCTCTATCCATTGTGCTACCTAGCTGCTGAGATCACCAAGATGCAAAAAAGAGAGAAGATAATCTTAGGGAAAATACCTACAGTTAGGAAGCAAGAAATAGTTCATGATATTGCAAAGGAAACTGAGAAATGTCATACAGTGAGAGGAGGGACCAGGAGACCATAGTATCTTGAAGGCCAAAAGATCAAAATGTCTAGGAAGAGGAAGATATCAACAATAACAAAATTTATGGGGAGGTGAAAAAGGTTCAGGACTTAGACGAGTCCATGGATCTGTTTTAAATATGTTGATAATCTTGGTGAAAGTGGTTTCAGTTGAGTGGTCAGAGCAGAAGGCATTTGCTTTCTGTCTAAAGTGAATGGAAGATGAGAAAATTGTGGCAACAAGTAGAGATGACTCTAAGAATCTGGCTGTGAAAAAGAAATATTAGATCTTAGCTTAAAAGGATATTGGGGTCAAGTGCAGGATTTTTAAGGATAGGGAAGACCTGAACTTGTTTATAAGCATGTCTCTAGAAATGAGAAAAAAAAAATGAGATGGAGGCAACACATTCTTAGAAGAAGCAGGAGTAGATGAGATCGAAGACACAAAGTAAAAGAGTTGGTCTGGATGAGAAGACCTACTTCCTCAGAGCCTTGGGATAACAGAAGGATGTTGGAAGATGATATAGAAAGATCTAGAGATATAGACTGAGGAGAAAAGAGTTTATGAGAAATGTCCTCCCTTAAATCTTTTAGCAAAATAGCAGGCAAGGCTCTCTCCAGGGGGGAAGATGAAGGATACTGTAGGAATTTGAGGAAGGAAAAGAATTCCCCCTCATTCCCAAAATAGAGTGGCCAATCTGAAAAATGGGCTACAGGTAGAGATTCATTCAGGAAGGAATAACAGGATTATCATGCATCTGTGAGGACCCAGTTGAGATTAGATAACATACATTGTAGTTGAACTAGTCACCAGCATGGTGCAACTTTGCCCGGTGGAGAAGATAGCATTCAGAGGTGAGGAGAATGTAGATGGTGGGAGTGACTGAAGGCATGGATTTTATAAGGCATGTGTCCCACTGGTTGAGGGCAGAAAAAAATTAAAGGGAAGAGAATGGTGTAGAGTTAAACTGGTCAATGATGGGGTCAAGACCTGGGAAGGAAGGAAAATGAGGCCAAAGAGATGGATTGGAAGAGAAGGCAGGGGTGGAAGAATTGGAGAGCTGGTGAGAATCTAGGATTAGATTTAGGAGAAGTGAAGCAAAGGGAAAATGGAAGGATAGGAGACCATGATGGAGAAAAGAATTTGAGTTTGGTATCATAATTATGGGTGGTGGTGATATTTAGGGTATTGTCATTCTTGTGAGTGACAAAGTTGTCGTGAAGATAGGTTTTGAGTGTTCAGGAGGATTAATAAACTGAGAAGCCATGTGTACTGGCATTTAAAGAGACATCAATCTATGTCCTGCAGCCCTTAAGCATGAGGGCAGAGGCTAGGATGCAGAAGAAGCCTGTGAGGCAGATTCCAAGTTGCTTAAGAGGGGAAAATAATGTAAAGACCAATAGATTATATCTACAGCCAGTATCGGGACAGGGTGATCTAGATGGATAAGAGGGAACCTCAAAAGAGAAAAGTTTGCTGAGTGAGAAAGAGGACCTGAAAGTGAGAAGAGCAAAGATCTTGCGTATTACATCTCTGGGCTGTGTGTGCCAGAGGAGATGAGAAGGAGCCTTGAGTGCTGGAGAGAAAGGCCAGGGGTACATGCCTACTGGGGGCTTCTGTGAGTGCCAAAAGATGGAAAGGATACCCAGGATCTCATGTGTATCGGCAACAGAACCAGGATTCACACACGAGCCACTGACTCCAAATCCAGAGCTCTTTTCTCTGTGACAAACAGTGCTTCCACCCTGTAGATTGTTACCAGTGATGAATTTCATGGGATAAATGGCATGGAAGGTCTCTTCAAGGATATGCGTGATTGGAAACGTGGATGAGCTGGTTGTGTTGTGGGAGACGACAGGAGGACAATCTAAGTGTTGAGTTTATTTCTGTAAAATATTAAGGAGAAAGAGAAAAAGGCTTCCAGCACATTGGATAAATACTCAAGAGAAACAGCGTGGGATTACAGAACGGCACTGGCCCTGGTAAAGAGACCTGGGTTCATATCCCAGTTACTTATTACCTGCGTGACCAAAGGGACACAAATCAGTTAACCTCCCAAGGTCCTAGGCTCCTGATCTATGAAATGGAGATAATGATATTTACATTTCTTACCTCACAGAGTTATTGGAGGAAAACACTTTTTGATCCTCGAAGGGCTACATAAATGTGAGCTACCTTCTATGTAAGAAAAACAGGAAGTCATGGACAAAGAATTGTACAAGATGAGAAGGCACAAGTGGGTTCCGATCTGCACCCAGAAAAAGAAGCACCACGCTGATGAAATAACAGATCCCTGAAGTAGTTGTTCACACATTGAGAAACTGAGGCACAGAGAGGTTGAATTGCCCAAGATAAATAAATAAATGAAACTGGGACTGAATCTTGGACTCTCCACCTCTAACCTCAAGCTCCTTGCAAGACATGATGTGGCCTCTCAACCTGCAATGATAGTGACCATGCTGTAATTTAAAGCATGTGAGAAATTTCCCTTCAATTCCAGATAATCCCAGAAAGAGAAGGACCAAGGAAAGAGTTGGGTCTTTGTATGAGCTCTAGCTAGAGTTCCATGAAGAGTGAACTTTGACACAGGCAAGTTTGGGGCATGAGGGAAGTGGGGGGGGGAGGGGCAGGTTTTATTAGCTTAAGAGGTGCTCTGGGATTGGGAGGCTAAGGAATACAGTCGTCTCACTGGCTCAAGAATTGCTGGCTATTTCCCTGCCTGGAGACTGGGCTCTCTGGCCCTTTTTCTCACTGTTTCCTGCAATGAGAAGAGACAGGGAGACTAGCTGCTACCCTTCACACCTGACTGTCCCACCAGGCAGTGATCCAGCCAACCACCTGTCCAGTGGAGGCAGCCTCCCTCAACGCCTGTAAGCCCCAAAGAAGGGGGAGGGCTTTTCAGTGGCTGCTGTGACTTCTGACAGAACCTTCAAAGGGAGGACACTACTATCCACAGCTTCTCAGAGCTCACTGCAGCCCAGACTGTACCCTCCCTAGACATCAGCAACACCAAGGTGCCTGCCCCAGCAACTCCTGGGGCTGCTGTTGGCACGAATGGAAACCATGTCTCCAGCCCACCCAAGTCTCTGGGTCCTTGTGGTCCTGAGTATTGGGTGGCTGGGCTTGGGGCAGCATGTAGCTGAAGCAGCTGTCCGACATCGCTATATAGCTGCTCAGATCATCAGCTGGACCTACCTCCCTCAGACCAGCAACCCAAGGTAATTCAAGACTGGGAGGAATGGGGGAGTGGGGTCAGAAGAGAAGGCAACAGGAAGTTTGCCTCGTCCCTCTGGGAAACAGACCTTTCCTTGGGACAGCTCACACTAGACCTGGCTATTCCCTGTTCTCAACTGCAATTGATAGGGTATGATGCAACATCCCGGTCATAATACAATATCATTCCTCTGTGCATTTTATTACATGGGAAGCACTTAGTTATTAAGTTTGATGAGCTGGGATCTTTGTGTTTGCAGCAAATATCCTTTTATTAATGAATTCAATTTCTGAATGAACATGGGAAAAGTACAAAATATTGAGAACTATTATTCTAGTTAACCATATTGTCAACATCCTTCTTTGAATTGTCAGAGTAAAAATTATTCCTGCCTACTTGACTGCTTCTAAAAGTTATTTACATTTTATGTGCACTATTATCCATAGATCTCAAGAGATAGTATGATGTAATGGAAAAAGCACTGCCTTGGGAATTGGAGGATTTGGGTTTAAATCCTGTCTTTGACAATTACTATCTGTGTGACCGTGGGTAGTCACATCCTGAGACTTATACATCTCATCTTTAAAATGAAAAAGTTGGACTAGATGACCTTTAAGGACCATCCCTCCCAGCCTGAACTCTATGATTTTATTGTCTTCATGTTCTAAAAAGTCCAGATACAGACTTTAAGATGCAAATCCAAATTGCTTGTGATCATCATTTGATTTCTGATTTATGTATAGTGCCAAAGAAATTACTGTGAGAAAAAGCAATAAATCTATTATTTTATGTTTCTTTAAAGCTACCTCATCAAAGCTACCTGGGTATGTTTCTTCCTCTTTTGTGACTATCTTTAGCCTCTACATGCCTATGAGAGAGAACTGTCCCACTTAGACTGGCCATTTTATTAGTCAAATTTTGATTAAAATGCAGGTATAAATGAGAGGGCTTTGAATTAAACCTGACAATTATGTTTGCTTGTCAAACTGGTCTCACAACTTAGAGACTTTCAAAGGTGAAACGAAACTTCTCTGGAATAGTTGGGATCAAAAAGCAAACCTATAGTAGATTACAATGAACTGTGCTTGTCTTTATTTTAAAATTGGGCCAATGGAGATACTATATTTATTTAAACCTGAAACCACAGCTTGGGTGATTGGGAAAGACATGTTCCTCTTTCAGAGTTGCAAAATCAGAGTTATCTGCCAAGATATGTCAAAATTTTCTGAAAGCCCTTTAGATTACAAAATTACTAGTTTGGTGTTTGAATGACTAAAATTCTCTGCTTAGACTTTCTAATTGTATTAGGTGAATGTTAATGGAATTGAATTGAAGTATAAGGTGATAATCTACTTTTATACTAATATATTTAGGGCCCTGCTATTAATAGAAGATTCAAAGAAAATAATCATGCTTTCCTGCTTATCTAGAGGAAACTAATTTGGTTGCTTATTTTTCTTGTTCACACTGGATTCAAGCCTAGTTAATAACCAAACTGCCATGAAAATTCTCTACAGAGACCAACTCCATTTCTGATATAACATGGTTAGCGTGTGAGAGGGTTGTGAGCTCTGTCCTCCAACCCCTGTCTTCTCACGGGCTTCCACCATAGTCCTAGGAAGAGTTTTCACTGGTAGCTCAGTTATTGAGGCCCCGTAAAACCTGTAGCAAGAATGAGGAAAGCCCCAAGATGGTCAGACCACTCAGGTTCCTTTGCTGGAAAGAACTTACTGGGAAACCTGGTCCATTAAATTGGGAAAATAGCCTAAATATACTCCCATTATAGCTAAAGTAATAAAATTCTCAGTTGGAGAAACTATATGTGACTTTTCAAGTAGCTAGATAATTTTGGAGAAGGAAATGGCAAAACTCTCCAGTATCTTTGCCAAGAAAATCCCAAATGGGGTCACAAAGAGTTGGACGTGACTGAAACTACTAAACATGGTAATTTTTAGAGAGAAATTATAATAGTGTCAACTCTTTTCTCAAAGTTTAGTTCAAGAGAATAAACATTAGAAACTTTTCTTTCATTTAGCACTAACAGGACCCAAATGACCTTTGGAAACAAAATATCCTATTTTTTTTGTCCTGAGGTAATTTTTAAAATGAAAATAAAGCTTATTCAATTACTTCAGAAAACTACATGATTTAAGAGGTGGAAGGGACCATAGTCCAAGTAGTCCAAATCATACCTGAAAATTAACCCCTTCCCGCAACATACTCAACAATTAGTCATCTGCTTTTGCTTGAAGACTGCCTGACTGCCCATTCTGCTTTGGAACACCTCTAATCGTTAAGCTTTCCTGACCTGCAAGTCTATTTCCACCTACTTCTTGTCATGCCTCCTGGGGCCAAGCTGAACCAGCATAATAACTCTTCCCAGGAGAGCCTTTCAAGTACCATACTTGAAAACAGCTTTCAAGTCTCTCCATAAATCTTCTTTTCTGGCTAAACACACTTAGTCCTTTTAAAAGACCCTCTTAGGTATGATCTGAAGGCCCTTTACCATTCTGGTTGTATTTATGATATAACATTATGCTTTGGAAATCTCCCCTAGTTCTCTGTCTCTCACTCCTAATCTTGTCCAATGCTTATCAACCTGCATCTTTTATATGGAACCCCTCCCTTTCCACCCCACTCATTCCTTGGGGGCAAGAGCTGTGTCATTTTTATCTTTGCATCTCCAGAACCTAGAACACTTCCTGAAACATAATAGGAGCAAACGTTTGCTGAACTGGAAAAAAAAAAGTAAAAATGAAATGAAAAAAATTAAGGAAAAATAACCTTCCTACAAGTTAATGCAAAAGAGGTCTTAAATAATAAAACTCTATCCATAGAAGAGCTTTTAAAAAGGACTCTTGTGTTTCATGCCTAGTTTAAAGCCCGCAGAGCCTACCTTTAAGAAAATGGTCTACAGAGAGTATGAAGCAGGTTTCATACAAGAAAAGCCAAGATCGAACATTTCAGGTGAGTCTCAGATAAAAAACAAGCTACAAAGCTAAACAGCTATGAGAAGATGAAACTGATAGACAGCCCTTGGGCTCTTTTGTCAATATAAGTGCTAGAGGAAGGCCCCCAGACACATTGGATAGACCATCCTGCAGATGTACAGGAGGACAAGGACATGATTTGCAATGGTTAGATGCGTTGCAATCAGCATGAGGGGAGGGAGTAATTTCATTGATGAGATGACAGATCCATCAAAGCCCCAAGCATTCAGCAGATAATTTGGGCTTCAGATTCCCAAATCTGTCAAGAATAGTATCTATTTGTATTATTGGAGACCTAGCTGGAGCTAGCTTACGTAGTACTTTAAGGTGGAGCAAAGCATTTTATATATTATGTCATTTGATCCTCTCAACAGCTCTGTGAGGTAGGTGCTATTATTATCCCCATTTTGTAGATGAAGAGACTATGCCACCAGGCTGGCTGACCACTCAGTTTCTGTCAAGCTGGTAGGTACTTGTGTTCCTTTACCTCAACTGAAGGCCAACTAGGTAGCCCAGTGGATAGAGTGCCACTCCTGAAGTCAGGAAGACTCCTCTTCCTGAGTTCAAATCTGGCCTCAGACATGTACTAGCTATGTGATCCTGGGTAAGTCACTTAACCCCGTTTGCCTCAATTTCCTCATCTGTAAAATGAACTGGAGAAGGAAATGGCAGACCACTCCAGTCTCTCTGCCAAGAAAACTCCAAATGGGGTCATGGAGAGTTAGACATGACTGAAAAATGACTGGACGACAAGAAAAATAACATCCCTTCCAAAGCTGACATTCTATGATTCTAAACAGGAGCATATTAATGATAATATAGCTAGGGCTAAGTGAGTTGAACGTTTACCCTAGGCAACTGTTACCTCCTTCATAGAGATCAATTTTACTTGCTCGTGTTTTGTTTTCCTTCTTTCATTTTCTCTTTTCTTCCTTTTCTATGTTTCCACACTCCACTCTAGCCTGCTGGAGTCAGCTCTGAATCACTTGGGAAAGCTGACTCTTAAATGTTCAGTGTGAGCATTTACACCTCAGAAACTGGAAAATATTACAAATCAGGATTTAATTGATTGTTTTGTTGATTAGCCAGACTTAAGAAAGTCAGTCTATAAACATTTACATGCCTACTATGTGCCAAGCACTGTTCTAAGCACTGGATACAAAGAAAGGTAAAAGAAACTCACAGTCTAATGGGAGAGACAACATGCAGAAGACTATGTACAAACAAGCTATAAATGGCATACGTTGGCAGTAATCAACAAAGGGAAAGCACAAGAATTAAGGGGGGTTGGGAGAGGCTTCCTGTACAAGGCGGGATTTTATCTGGAACTCATAGGAAGCCAGGGAAGCAAGGAGGTGAAGATGTGAAGGAAGAGCATTCTAGGCATGAGGGACAGTCAGTGAAAATGTCTGGAGTCAGGAAATGGACTATATTGTTTGAGGAATAGGAAGCAGACCAATATTACTGTATTGAAGAGTACGTGATGGGGTATAAAGTATAAAAAGACTAGAAAAGTGGGAAGGGGCTAGGTTGTAAAGGGCAAGAATATCAAACAGAGAATTTTATATTCTTTTCTGTAGGTGATAGGGAGCCATGGAAGTTTATTGAGTTGGGGGGGAGGGAGGTGACATGATGTCACTGAACTTCAGGGAAATCAAGTTAATGACTGAGTGGAGGATAGACTAGAGTGGGGAGAGACTTGTGTTGGGCAGACTAACCAGCAGACTATTTCAGTAGCCCAGAAGGAAGGACGTGTGTGTGTGTGTGTGTGTGTGTGTGTGTGTGTGTGTGTGTGTGTGTTGGGCGGAATTGTATTACAGAAGAAAAGGGAGCATATATGAGAATGCTGACACAAAGGTAAAATCAACAGATGTCGGCAACAGATTGTATATAGGGGGGAGTGAGAGCAAGGAGTTGAGGATGACATCTAGGGTGTGAGCCTGAGGGATTGGGGGGAGGACAGTGAGGGAAAAAATGCTAATAATTCCAATTAAACTTGAAAGTTTGTCCTGTTTAGACTTTGTTTTTCTTTAGAGGGCTGGTTATTAAACATTTACCAGCACATCCCTGCCTGACCTCCACCAACTTTTGGCTTGGTCTAAGGGGAGTATAATTTGAGTTGAAGAGTTCATTCGTAGGTTTGTAGAGTTGCAGTGACACTTTAGTACAATCCTTCTATTCTATAGATATGGAAACTCGGGGCCAATCAGTAGTCACATAGCCAGCAAACAGCAGTCAGGACTACATCCCAGGTCATCAGACCCTTGGTATAAGGCTGTTTCCACTATCCCACACCATGGGGAATATTTACAAATTTGGGGATGCATGCCTTGAAAGGGTTCATTGGGGTAGAGATATGTATAGGGTCCAGGAACTTAGTTTGGACTGAAAAATGTCTAGTTTTGCTTCTACATGCTATTAAAGAAGTCATGAAATACTGGTGGATGGAGGAGGTTTTGAGGAAGCACAAAAAGTGGTTTGCCTCGTATTATTTAAGGTTTCCATTCTCTTGAAACAATAGATTAGCTTATTGATCCACCTTCTAACTCCATGAGTCTGAAATTAAATATTTGGAGGAGGAGCTCATTAGGCCATAAGCTTCCTGAGGGCAAGAATTATTTTTCCTTTTTGTTTTTGTACAGTCCCCCCTTTCCCAAGGCTTAGCTAAGAGCCTTGCATCCAGTAGGTGCTTAATAAATGCTTGTTGAATTGAAATTTTGCAACCAGTCTCCCTTTCTACTGGAGACCTTTCTAGTCACCTCTCTGCTTAGCCCCCAACTTTAATGCCTTTCCTGCTAAGGTTTCCCCTTTTAATCCCTCTGTATCTTTGTTGTATGTTTCTATTTATTTGCAAGTTGTCTTCTCCACGAGAATAAAACTCCTTGAGAGTAGGGAATGCTTTTGCTTTGTTTTCCCAATGCTTAGCACTGTGCCTGAGCATGGTAATCACTTTATAAATGCTCATTTATTAATTGATGGAAGGGAGGAAGAAAAAGGGAGGATGGAAGGAAAAGGCAGTGAAGAAAGGTCTTAAAAATCAGAAAACTAATTAAGTGGCTTATCCACAGCACAAACATCTCCTAGGAATGTGATTGCCCTCTCTATGATCTGGGACACACACTGTATGAGAAGAGAAGTTTCCTTGTTTTGTTTTAATTAAGAGGATGAGGGAGATAGTCAAACCTAACATTTGAGTAAGGGATCTTTGTGAAGCAGGTGACTGGGAGATTTGCTGTGAATGACCTGATTTTCCAGCTTTATGATCGCACATAGACACCAGTCAACAATGCCATGGTGATTAAGCACCACTCACTACAGGGGATGGAACTCTAAGAGTACAACAAATACTTTAGCTGGCAAGAACTTGCTTCAGTGTAAGCCCCAGGGCATGGGAAGCAAAGGTTGTAGATAGCAGGGGATGGAGAGTAGGTCAAGAGAGATCTCAAGTCAATCCAACAAGAATTAATTAAGCTCCTGCTACATGCAGGTGGTATAAAGTGGTGTGTGTGTGCGTGTGTGTGTGTGTGTGTGTGTGTGTGTGTGTATGTATATATATATGTGTATATATATATATATATATATTATATAAAGGGGCTATATGCAATGGTACAAAAATGAAGAATGCCCCAATGCTGAAACAATCCAATAAGCAGTAATTAAACTCCTGCTGTGTTCAAGGTAGTAGTGGTATAAATATGAAGAATGCCCCAATGCTGAAACAAACAAACAATCCAATAAGCATTTATTAAGCTCCTACTATGTGCAAAGGCAGAACCAAAAATAGTCCCTGACCTCATTTGTTGTTGTTGTTGAGTCATTTCAATTGTATCACACTCTTCGTGACACCATTTTGGGGTTTTCGTGGCCAAGATATTGGAGTGATTTGCCATTTTCTTTTCCAGCTCATTTTATAGATGAGAAACTGAGGTAAACAGGATTAAGTGATTTGCCCAGGGTTTGGCAAGTGTCTGAGGCCAGATCTGAGCTCATGAAGAAGAGTCTTTCTGGTTCTAAACCCAGTGCTCTATCCACTTCACAACTTAGCTGCCCCTCCCTGACCTCAAGGAGTTTATAATTCACAGGCTATACAGTCTCTTAGGATAACAATGAGAGTCCAGGAATAACAATTTCAGGGGTGGGGGTGGGGGGATGGGGAGATGGGGATGGGGAGTGGGGAAGGACAAATACAATACCAGAACTTGGAAAGATATCAGCTATAGCATAGGGAGGCAGCAGGAGATCAGAAAGATGGTTCAAGAGAAGGGTAGCTTGAGAGGGTAGAAAGTCAATCAGAGAGGCAAGCAACAGCCCAAATAAAATCCAGCATCTATCTATGAGGCAACATTGTGAACACTAGATTTGGAGGCAAGAGACCTCAAACAGCTCTTACCTGCGTGACCTTGGACAAGGTCACTTCAATTCTCAGGCTATTTTCTGTCTGCAAGATAGGTGTGATACTTGCACTACCTGTGTTACAGAGTGATTGTGGAGAAAGTGTTTGGTAAGAGCTAATAATGCTTTTCTCCCAAAGCCCCAATACAATCACTGAAATCAGCTGCCTCTTCTGGGTTTTTCTATAGTTTCTGTGGGATAGAAGCCAATCCTATGGAACTGGTCTAAGCCTGATAGGCACAAAATGGGCATTTGGTACCAGCTAGATGAGATGGGGAATGGTCCCCTGATCAGCAGTGGTGCTCCGTCACTAAAAGTTTTGACCCCCCAAAAGCACTATCATAGTGGAGATGCCACCATCTTCATAAAAAATAGAAAATAATCATAGGGATGGGGATTAGACCTATGATTTCATTTGGTGTGGGGAACTCTAGGTGAGAAAACTCATTCTACTAATGTAGGCTGATGCCTTTTATGCAATTAATAGTCCAAGAGAGTTGCCAGGGTCACTGATTTCAATGACTTGCCCAGAGTCCCATTGCCAGTATGTGTCAAAATAGGATGAGAACCCTGGTTTTCATGACTTCAAGGCCAGCTTTCTACCTACTAAGCCATGCTTTTTAGATTTTTTTTAATAAGACCATGCCTTTAAATTTTAAAAGTCGTTGGCTTCACTTTAAGAAATTTATAGTAAAATTGCTAGGTATTCTAGAGTTATTCCTAATCTCCCTTCATGTTAGTGCCTTGTCTCTGAGATTACTTCCACGCTTTCCTGTATATATCTTGTTTGTACACGGTGGTTTGCATGTTATCTGCCCTGTTAGATTGCTCCCTGGGGGAAGATACTATTTTTACATTTCTCCTTTCTTAGTATCTCCAGTGCATAATTAATTTAGTGCCTGACACATAGTAAGCACTTAATAAAAGCTTGTTGCTTGTTGACTTATGAATGGAGCATATGTAAAAAGAAATTGGACTAAGAGTCAGAAGAACTAGGTGTGAGTTCCTGATGGAGTAGAGAAAGTGTTAGATTTGTAATCGGGGTCATGGGTTCAAATCCTGCCTTCCATTTACTACTTTTATGACCTTAGGCAAATCACTCATTCATTTCCAGATCTCAGTTTCTTCATCTGCAAAGTGGATGGGAGTGTTGGGCTAGATGATCACTAAGACCTCTTATGATCCTATGATATGCCATTAATTAGCTGTGTGAACTTCAGTAACTTTTTTGACTTGTCTAGGTGTCATTTTCCTCATCTGGAAAAAAAATAAGACCTCTAAAGTCTCCTCATCCTATGGATCACAGTTTGAAAATTCTTGCTCAACAAATAGTAAGCAAAAGGCAGATTTTTCACTCCTTGCCCTTATACAATAACCAACCAGTAGCTACTCAAAAATGGGGGGCATTTTTCCACCTGCCTTTTTTTTTAAATCTCAAAAGTATTTTCTATGGAAAACACTTCTGGAATTCATTTTATAGTTTAAAAACTGCTAGAAAAAAATGCTAGATAGAAAACATTTTCTGAGTCTAAAAGGGAAGTATTGGGGGGTAAGGGGGGAGGGAATACAGATAATGGAAAGAATGGGCCATGCATGGGTGAGGACTCCTGGATACTATTCTGCCCTTGCTTTGACTTGCTGTGTGACCCAGGTCAAACATCTCTACTTTCCTATTAATAATACCAATAGCTAGCATTTATAGAAGGGCAGCTAGGTGATGCAGTGGATAGAATGCCTGACTTGGAGCCAGGAAGACTCATCTTCATGTGTTCAAATCTGGCCTCATATATTTACTAGCTGTGTGACCCTGGGCAAGTCACTTCACTCTGTTTACCTCAATTTCCTCATCTATAAAATGAGCAAGAAAAGGAAATGGCAAACCACTCCAATATCTTTGCCAAGAAAGTCCCATATGGGGTCACACAGAGTTGGAGTTGACTGAAAAACATCTGAACAGCAACAAAAGTGTTTACATAGCACCTTAAGGTTTGCAAAGCACCTTACATTTGATCCTCACAACAACTCTGTGAGGTGAGTGCTGTTATTTTTGTTATCCCCATTTTGCAGCAGAGAAATTGGAGGCAAAAAAGAAGATGACTTGTCAGTGTCACACAGCTAGTAAGTGTCTGAGGTAGGATTTGAACTCAGTTCTCTCTGACTCCAAGTCCCAAACTCTATTCCCCTTACCACCTAACTAGCTCCGTTTTTTTTCTAACTCAGGGCAGGCAGCGCTGGTGAAACATTCTGAATCGAAGGTGAACAGAGCCAGGACAGCAGTTACTATTAGAACTTGTGTGTTCATGTCATCTGTCTGGCGGTCCTAAACACATTTATGTTTTACCTTCTCATTTTCCTAGGACTTCTTGGACCTACTCTTTTTGCCGAAGTTGGAGACACTTTGAAGGTTCACTTTAAGAATATGGCTAAGAAGCCCTTAACCATCCATCCCGAAGGAATCGAATATAATAAACTGTCTGAAGGTAAGGAGAATTCAATATTTCCTAGTACAAAAGACAGTGTATTACAGTTTCCTGTCTGTATTAAACACTTTGGAACATAATCATCAGTCTGTTAGAGATGCTTTTCCCCCAATTGGGTCAATGTTAAAAGTGAACAATTCTGCTGTGAAAAGAAGAGGAAACGAAATTTGTCAGCAAAGGTATTTTACTCGATAATGCAATGAGAATATTCTAGAATTATGAACATTCTGGAGTGATATCTCTAGAACTTTTGGCACTATCAGTATTCCTGCTTTCTTCTCCTCTGGTTTTTCTCACCCATAATTTCCTGACACAGTGACCTCCTATTCTCTCTACACTGAGGTTTGCTCCTCCTCCAAGCTTCTCTGGCTTCCGTCAAGTCTCAGCTAACATCCCAGCTTCTGCCAAGAAGTCTGCTGGTCCTCCATAATTTTAGTGCCTTTTCTCTGAGGCTCCCTCCAAGTTATCCCATTTTTTTTGTTTGTGCATAATTGTGTGTTGTCTTACTCATTAGACTATGAGCTCTCTGAGAGCAGGAACTATTGTTTTTTGGGGGAGAAGTGGACTTTTTTTTTGTTCTCAGCATTTAGTTCTGTACCTGACACATAGTTGTTGTTAAGTTGTTTTTCAGTTATATCCAACTCTCCATGGTGCCATTTTGGGGAATTTTCTTGGCAAAGATATTGGAATGGTTTGCCATTTTCTTCTCCAGCTTATTTTACCAATGAGGAAACTGAGGCAAACAGAGTTAAGTGACTTGCCCAGAGTCAGGCACTTAGTAAGTATTAGTTTACTTGACTGGAATCTGACTTTATATGTAAGTGACTGCTAATCTTAATGCATTAACTATCTCCAAGGTATTTTGATCTTAAGAAGGGTCATAGCTCTACCATGCTTCCCTTGATGGAGGTAAAGGAAGAAACTCCAGCTCTGAATTTTCTGGTATCCTTGCAAGCTGGTGCTGTTATGTATTCTACCAACTCAAGAGCATAGGAAGGGCTAACATCTAGACTATAGGAGAGAATATGTTTAAAAAAAAAAACAAGTATCTCAGGCAAGAAAAGGTAAACACACATAATAACCATAGCCGACCTCATCCTATGATCCCTACCTAAAGTTTTCTTTCACTTTTTCTATAAAACCTAAATTCCAGAACTCTTAAAGTGCCAGCCTCTCTTTGTGTCCTTTTCTGTAGTGATGATGGACTTCATCTATCCAGATATTTACTGGAATTTTCACTCTACCAAAAGAAAAGCTGATAGAAATTTTTAGATTGCCTGAATGACTCATCTTTGTCCTGCCAACCTAACTGAGGGTGTCCCCATAAGGGCCAGATAGCCCCAGGTCCTCTTCTCTAAAAATAACTTCCTCTCTGTCTCTCTCTCTCTCTTTTTTTTTTAAGGATAGGCAATGGGGTTAAGTGACTTGCCCAGGGTCACACGGCTAGAAAGTGTTATGTGTCTGAGGCCGGATTTGAACTCAGGTCCTCCTGAATCCAGGGCTGGTGCTCTATCCACTGCGTCACCTAGCTGCCCCTAACTTCCTCTCTCTTGATTCCATCAGCTCCCATAGGTTCAATTACTATCTCTAACAGCTGACACCTAAATCTAGCTAGCTAGCTCTAATCTCTTTCCTGAGTTCTAGTATCGTAACCAATTGCCTGATATTTCCACCTAGTAGGTCTGCAGGAATATAAAACTCAATATGTCCAAAGCAGAAATCATTCCATTCTCCCACGAAATCACCCAAGACCCCTCCAAACTTTCTTCTTTCTGTTGGGACAACCACTATCCCTCCAATAAGCAAGGTTTGCAAACTTGTAATTATCCTCATCTTTTCATTCTTCCTCAATTGTCATATTTAATTGTGCGCCCAGTCTTGTCAATTATATTTTCACAACATCTCTCAAACACATTCCTTTCTTTCTACTTATTTGGTTGCTACTCTAGTCCAGTCCCTTGTCACCTCTGCTTTAATTATTCATTCAGACTTTGTCAAGGAATCAAAGACAATAGTTTGCAGACTGTGTGTCTTTCCTTTTATTTAAAAGGAATGACTTTTGCCTTTCTCCAGTTCTGCAGCACTTCTATGAAATATGGAGCATGAGAGATCATGGACAGTGGCTTAGCAGCTACACCTATTAAGAAAACATTGTGTAGACCAGTTTGACTAGAATGGAGAGAGTCAGAAGGGGAGCAATGTAAAATATTTCTGGAAAGGTAGGGAGTTCAAGAAACATTTATTAAGCACCTACTATGTGTCAAAATGATTCAGTTCAATTAAATAAGCATTTATTATCTGGAAAGAGCCAGCAGGCTTTCATGCTAGGCTGACTTTTGTTTTTTAAGCTTTTTTTGAGAGGGGCTTGACGTGAGGCAAAATCTTCCTAACAATTTGAGTTGTACAAAAGCAAAAAAGGCTGGAGAGGCAGTCAGTTTCCTTTCATTGGAGGTTTTGAGGCAAAGCCTAGATGACTTTCCTTTTCCAGTGGACGCAAAGAGGATTCTTGCTGTCTGCTGAGATCATGTCCAAATCTGAAAATCTGTGAGACCCAATTTGTAAAATGTTGCAACTTCTCAGTTGCTCCTGGCAAGTTTCTTTCAGTTTTCTTTGTCCATTCAGAGCCATTCTATTTTCTTTCTGTATGATCATAATGTTTTCTCTGTTCTTCTAATTCTACTTCTTTTCCTTAGAATTAATTATTATTACGATTTAATGTTAATCATAAATAATAATATTGATCATTAACATTAATTGTTAATAATTGAGTTGGTTTATTAACATTAATTATAAATAGACTTGTTATTAATAACTAAGATTAACGATAATGTTAATAATACCTAGCATTGATATGTCACTTTAAAGTTTGCAAAAAATTTTACAAATGTTCCCTTATACGATCCTCACAACAACCTACCCAGGAGGTAGGTGCCATGATTATCCCTATTTGACAGATTAAGATCTTTCTAGATTTCTTTCTATTCCTCATGCTTTTTAGACTTAATTGAATTATGGCATTCCATCACTCAACTATCATCCATCATGTTCTCAGCAGTAACGATATACAATATTTACCAACAATTAAGGAAAGGGATATTTCATTTCAAGAGTACTCTGTGTTTTAAATACAGGAAGATATGTGTGCTGAATTTTGAATCCTGATCATGCTCTTTGCTCAGTGAATGAACTGGGGGTCATTGTCCTTTTTTTTTTTTTTGCTCTTTATTCCTAATAGAACATAGCCTCATCTGGTAATTATTAACTGACAATAGTTCAGAATGTACCACCTCCACATAGCATGAATCATCTGTGTGTACATTGCCACCTTTTCTTCATCTGTATCTCAGTATCTCAACCCAGAATATGCAGGGTGCACATTAAAGATAGCAGATAACTTTAAGATGTTATAGTCCAGTGTCATAAATCTAATTCTTCACTGTAACATGGAAGTGACATTGTTTATTTTACCTACACAGCATATTAACATAAAACATATGAGAATTCTACTTGCCCACTGTCAGTGGGATGTTTTTCTTTAGAGTTGTTTTTCCTGTCATGGGAATGTTTCTGTTGAAAATTGTTGGAGGGAAAGGCATCTGAATCAGGACGTGGCATCCAATTACTTAAAAATGCTCACCAAATAACAGAATCAGAATTGGAATCTCAGAGGTTATTTATGTTAACTGAATATTCAGGCTCTGAATCTACATGAATAATGAGAGGTATAGTGCTACACATGCAGAATTTTCTTCCCATCCTGGAAAGGACTGAAACTATTATGAGTTCTGAGCCAAAGGTCAAGATTCTGCCAGGCTATGATAAGCAAGAGAAGTCCTTGGCTAGTTAATGCAGCAGCAACAGCATCTGACCTTAAAGGACCTTACCATGAAGGAATCCTATGGTTCTGATTTTATAACAGAGCAAGCTAAACTATGTACATCTAGGAGATGGAGTCATTGGTAAGACAGATTCAGTGAAACTTCTGGAGTGGGTGGAGCAGTAGAGTTGATCAATGGAAGTGTCCCCATACCTTGTGTGGTCATACCATGAAGTAAGACAAAATTCCAAAGGGTAGGGATGGCTAACTGCCTCACCTCCCCAGCCAGGCCCATCTCACAGCTCCCACAGGAAAACCTAAGGTATAATCTCAGGCAAATCATTCAAGTTTTCTAGGCTTTGATTTCCTCATTTGTAAGATTCAAACTTTAGATTAGATGATCCTAAAGGACTTTTAGCTATTAATCTCATTATCCTAGGAGTTTCCTACCTTCATAGGTGCCCATTCTGTTTTGGATAATTGTAATTGTTGTAGAGAGTTTCATCTAGTTATGTGAAGGTGAAATCTGTATTTCTGTAACAATAGCTAGCATTTCTATAGTGCTTTAAGATTTGCAAAGCACTTTACAAATATTATCTCATGTTGTAACTTCCACCCATGGTTTCTAGTTCTGCTTTTTGAGGCCCTGCAAAACATGTCTTATAATTCTTTTGGATGACAGCCCTTTAAATCCTCAACTTAAAGACAGCTATGAGGTGGTCACATTGTCCCTGAGTCTTCTCTGCAGGTTAAACATTGTTTTAAATTTTATTTATTTATTTATTTTTTGGTAAGGCAATTGGGGTTAAGTGACTTGCCCAGGGTCATGCAGCTAGTGAATATCATGTGTCTGAGGCTGGATTTGAACTCAGGTCCTCCTGACTTCAGGGCGGGTATTTTCTCCACTGTGCCACCTAGCTGCCCTCAGGTTAAACATTCTTATTTCCTTCAGTTCATACTCATAGGACATGCTCCTGATGGATCTCCGTTGACCACACTCTAGTTGGCCGGTGTTCATCTGAGAATATGGCGCCCACAATCAAACAGGACACTTTGTGTGTGGCCTGACCAAGGCAGAGAACAATGGAACTATATCCTCCCTCATTTTGGACGCTGTCTTTCTTAATGCAGCCTAAGATGTAATGGGCCTTTTTTACTGGGTTGGTTGGGTTATTGGCAGGAT